CTTTGCTGAATCCTAACAGAGATTACTGCTGACTCATGGCTTTTAGTAGAGCTGGCTTTTATCTGCCTTGGGGAAAGCAGGAGTTTATTCTCCCTGCATAAATTACACATGGGGTTTTTTCTTGTTTGTTTGTTTTTTTGGTTTTTTTGGGTTTTTTTGTTAGTTTTTTGTTTTTGTTTTGTTTTGTTTTTGTTTTTTCCCCTCCAGTGGAAGGATTTCTTATTTGGTTATCTTTAAAACTTTAAAAAAAAAAAAAATGAAATGGAAAGGAGTCTGTTTGCACTGTAGGCAAGTAATATTTTACAGAATGCAAGTGGGTTGACCTGTGAGTGGATATTTTCTTTTGGACTAGTTTAAATCTGATTTAAGATTCCAGGGTCTACAAGTGTCACTGACTCTTGGGATTAAATGCTGTAGGACTTAAACTGATTTGTCCAAGATCAAGTCTGTTACTCCAGACCTGCATCTCAGGTATATTTCTCATTTCAGGCTCAATAGAGAGTTTCTTTAAACCCAGTTTATAAATGGTGGGATTGTTTCACTGTGTAACATCTTATAATTTATACTCTGGCATAGGTAATGCAAAATCCTGGATCTCTTTCTTCCACAGGTTATGTAGAATTCTAATGCATGAGTTTGCTTAAAGGAGTAATGTGTGAACTAAATCTAAAAAGACCACCCAAACAGAAGAAAACTCCAAGAGCTATTTATTTTCAAAGCTGCAGGAAGTTGAGATGGAAACAATATCTTACTGCTTGTACTCTCCTCCAGTGCCTTTTTAAAATTATTAATGGATTCTAGAAGTAAAAGACATGTTCTTACTGCAAAATAAATCATCCAATTATGCTTCTTCATATAAACACCCTGAGAGTTCTTCTTTACACTGTCTAAGTTTACCAAGAGTAACAATAGATACAGTCAAAAATATTTTTTTAACAAAAAGATTGTTCTGGTTTGTGTTTTAAGATGATTTTTGTTGTGCCCTCACCCCCATCTCTGAAATCTTGAAGCTGTTATAGTTATGAGAGGGGTTGCCAGTGTTCTGAACCCTCCCCACATTATTAATTCAGATAAAGCATTTGTGATTTTCTAAGATCACACTGACTTTAATGAAAATTTTAGAATTGGCCCATTCTGTATTTTTGATTCAGAAAAATATTACCTCATTCTATGAAGAAGCTGTGGGAAAATCTTTAGATCTTGTTAGCTTGTTAATGGCTGAATAATTTCCCATATCTTCATGTACGCACCTGTCCAGAGAAGCACTTAAACTGGTTTATAACTTCAAGCAATCAAGTAGTCTGGAGAGGTTTTTCATGCTCTTAATTTCATGTGTAATTAAGATGAAATTAGCCTTAGGTTGGGTTCTTTGAAAATGTCCTTTAAGGAGAACAATAACCTGAGTCAACAGCAAAATAATCAACGTTGTTATGACAATAAGTCAGCACGAACCTGCTGTGAAGCATTGTGGAGTTCTTGCATCTGATGTTTGAAAAGTGAGAAACAAATACTTAAAATCTGTCACTGTGGATAGAATGGAAGTGAAAGAAAAACCCTTCAGACTTTTCCCAATGATTTTACAATGTTTGATAGAAGGAGAAAATAGGGGACAAGGTGGAGGAGGTGTTTGATTTGAAGGCATTTGGGTTTGGTTTGTCACTTTGTGCACAGGGTCTCACAAGACACCTGAGACAGTTCCATGCGTTCCACCTGCAATCTCAAATGCCCAAAAGGCTTTTTTTCCTCACCTTTAAAAACAAACTCTCTCATGATGTCTCTCATTCACAAAGACAGATGAAAACAGCTAAAGGGCAGTGAGCTTGCTTTGGGTGATATACAGGGGAACCTGCTGTCAGTAAGTATTGCTTCAAATAATAACAGAAAAGGTAAAGCAGTCAACTTTGGATGTGAACAAGTACCTAATATTTACATCTGCTGACTAAAGCTAATTGGAACTGTGGGTCTCTGCCCAAGAATTGGGACAATTTGTGCATGGAATAAATTTAGTAGCAAATCTCTCATTGACTTCACTTATGTGGGATGAAGGTCTAAAGTGGCAAGAAGCCATGAGCTGTATGTAGCTTTGAAAAGTGATATTGTATTAGGAATGTGGTTAAATGGAAATGAAGAAATTGAGATGGTCTTCTAGTTGTTCTACCTGAATGCATTTATATATTTGTGAAAAAGCTACAAAACTAATTCTGCAGATTGAATCCTTTGGGTGTTTCTTTGCCCTTTCCTCTGGTTTTGTAATGAATAGGGGGTAAAAACTCTTTGCCTATGAAGTGTTTAATGAACTGGTTCTGGCTCATCTGCTACTGAACTCTTGAAGTGATGAGGACCTCTGCACATGATAAACAGCAATTGAATTATTCCGCTCTGTGTTTTTAAAATGTTTTAGTGCCAATAAAGGGATCTGACCCTGCTCTTGACCTCATGGATTTGGTCAATACACTGTTCTGTTACAAAACCTAAAAGAGACTTCCTGCCGCTCCAAATATGAATTTTATCTTCAATTTTTAAATACTAATTTATTTTTTTTTTTCAGAGCTAATGGTTACTATCCAAAAAAATTTGGATGGTTTTATAAATAAAAATTGAACATATTATTTTAAATAGTCCTGTTAAGGCACAAATTTTTGCTTACATTAGCAGGTGGGTTGGAGTAAGGAATCATTTAAATCTGAATGTTAAGCTAAATATCAGGGTTTCAAAACTATGAAAAATTAGTCAATGAAATAAAAGTAAATTGGCGAGCACTGCAAGGAAACAGCAGTTGTTTTGGATCTGAATACAGACCAATTAAAGTGGTATTATGTATTTTGACTACATTTTGATCAAGTCCTGTCAGTGAAATAATCTGGGATGTTATGTCCTATTAGTACTTCTCCACCTATATTTTTGATGTACCTAAAGGCTGTGAATTTCAAAACTCTGCAGTAGGGCCAGAAATTAATGTTCTTTGACTAGGGTTCTTTTTTCCCCCCCGCTGTTAATTTCTAGCACCATCCAACAGTAACAGCCTTTCTCCTAAGAAAAATGTTAATTAAAATCAATGATGTCCTCAATTAAGTTGTCAGATTACTTGAAGCAAGTATCTCAGTGTAGAAGAGAAGATGCTAATTAATACAATAAATTGTTTTAATTTCTGTCTCTTAAGCAGATCACCACACTGTTACCATTGTGACTGAGAAGGGAATTACTGGCAAACCATTGTTTGAACCCTATAAAACCTGCTAAATGAGCTCACTAAGAGACCTTATACTGCACCCATAACTAAAGATTCATATTGTACATTACAGCTTTTCCATGCGAGGGTAAGAAGCCCAGACTCTTTTGTAGTGTTTCTCATTGGAAATTTTGAATGTTTTAATGCCTGACATTCCCTCTGCATGTGCAGAAGCTGCATTTGCCTTCATTTGGTTACAGAAATAACAGAGAAAATTTGCTTGAAGTCCTGAGAACTGTTTGCACTAGAAGAAGTTCTGGATTGCAAATGCTTTTACCAGTGCTGAGTGAGAAATTCCCCTTTATTATTCTGCTTTTGATTTCCTGCCTGACTTGACAAACTTCCCTCAGCCAGACAAATTTCTGTGATCGGTGAGAACATCCTGAATGCTGCATGTAACAGATTTTTGCCTTTGGGGAGTGTAGCATGACCCTTCCTCTGCCTTGCAGATGAGTTAGGACAGTGCTGTAAGTGGGCCAGGTGTTTCTACTCAGCAACAGAGATTCTGCCCAAATAGCAGGGCAGAATGTCTATGGTCTGTAAATCCCAAATAGGATTTAGATGGCAAAGCAGTCCTAGGTTCTGTACTTCTGAATTGCCATTACTGTCAATTGAGAAGATGCTGCTCTTCCACCATGGCATGGCTTCAACTAGGAAAGAATTTGTGACTTTCTGAGCTTGGGGGTTTTCCTGGAGGGGAGAAGGGGCTGGGAGGGTGTTTATTTTAAGGAACAGGTGTGCCATGGCAGTGGGGAAAGAGCCTTATTTTGGACAGCTGCTGGATATACAGCTCAGGATATTACACAGTTAAAGAAAGTGATATCAATATCAAAATACAGTGCTGAGGTATTTCAGTCCAAATATTACTTGAAACAATTTATCTACTTCAGGCCTTGTAAATCAGGAAAAGGACATTTATATTAATCATGCACAATTGAGAACATTGATAAATTTACGTGCAACATCTGTTGATTTTAGTACAATAACATTTTTTTTTTCGTTAAATTAAAGATATTTTTTTTTTTTCCCCTGAGTAAAGCCTCTTCTCTGGCCAAGTAATATACATGGGGCTTGGGCATTTCATTTCATTAATTATAACATTAATTATAATTCATAAAATTTAATTTATGTCCTATTAATGTATGTTAGTCTGAGATGCTGGAAAAGCTTCATCACCCAGGCTTGCTGTAAGAAACCCATAAGTGAATATTCTCTAGAAGCTGAGGACAACACCATGATCAAATTTCTCACGGTCTCTTGATGGTTTAGTGTTCTGCCTGATTTTTTTTTTTTCCTGTCATCTGAATGTACCCAGAAATTTGAAAAAGTGTAGATGATTCTTGCTGTTTATTTTTGCAATTGTCTAAAGAAAGGGTAACAATATTTATATGTTTATATAGTCTTTGAATAACTATAGGTAGCATAAGTGGAATCTCACAGACAGCTGGGACTTAAGAAAAAAATATGTGAAAGAACACTAAGTCCATGTAGAGATGCAGATTTTCTATGTAAGAGGTAATTTTGTAGAATTTCTTTGCATTAGGAAAGGTTCTGTGCATTGTTGCCCCATTAATACTACATTTAGGTTCTGCTCTGAGACTCCTTCACTGCCTTTCCCTTATGGCTTTGTGGCATGATAATTGAAATTAAAAATGGAATCTGCTAACCCCATCCAAAATGCTGCTTTTGCTTTGGCTGCCCAGGAGGAAAGAGAATAGAACATATCCTTGTATGCAGAAACTACATTGTCCATTGTCTCTGAAAGAATTTCCACTAGGGCTGGAATACGCTGACCTGTGACCACTCTGTTCTGTGCAGTCTAAGGTGGTGGAGAAAAAGAAATCTGCCTTCAAAATCTGGAAAAGCCAGTGTGAGAGGTGTGTACAGCCCATTTCTTATATAAAATGAAAATGTCATACTTGCATTGTTTGCAGTTGGGATTGCACATTCCCGAATGCTGTCTCTCCAGGTGAGCAGGGGTGTGTGTGTCCCTGGGGGAAGTGAGGGATGCAGGCACAGCCCAGCTGTGTGTCAGGGACAGCATCAGCTCCTCACGTGCTGCAGGTTGGGTTTGCCTGACTGATGGAATTGTGGACGTGATTCAAAGGCAGCTATTATGGATCATTTTATCATTTGCTTATTTTCTCTTTCAAAATTTGCAGCGCAACAGTAAACTTCCAGTCATTCTGACTTCACTGCATGAAAAATATCAATGATGTCATTACTGTGGTAAGGACAGGTATGTGCTTGATGATTCACAGCACCAATCTGGGCTGGATCTCCCACATTTGGTATCCCTGGAGTGCTTGGAGGGTGGGCACTGATTCCACCAAACTGCTCTGTGGGTTTCAGACTTAAGTTTCTGATTTCCTTAGGTAGCAACCTGGCTGCTTAAGTGGACAAAACTGCACAACTAAATGAAAAGGCAGAATTGTTCTTTGACATTTCTGGCCACTAATTGAGAAGGAAGATGAGCAGATGGAGTTTTGTGCAACTGCCACAAGCCAGAACCTCTGGTATAAATGATTTCACTCTGCTGGGATATAGAAGCTATATCTTCATTAATGATTTAATTGGAATATTTAAAATATCCACCTGTAACTACTGGCTGCATGAAGTGGAATGTTAGCAAGTAAATACAGAGAAAGTGAAATTCTGAAAACAGCTTTTGAAATTAAAAAGAGCATGTGTTTACTGCCTTAGCTTTCTGAAAAATGTCATCAAGACTGTGAGGTAACTCAGAGGGAAACACAACCTTATTTGGCCAAATTTACTGTTTCATGATTTTTTTTGAAAGTTTATGTAAAGTTCAGCTAGCAGTTTAGTTTTTCTAATATTTTATGCTGAATTTGCACAGATATTAGAAAATAAAAGTAAAGTAGTTGTTTTCTCTGGTGTTTTCATACCACTAAGCCTAAAAGATGTAATTTTTCTCTCCTGTGTAAGATAATACCTAATACTATAAGATAATACTATAAGATAATAACCTAATACTTTCATAATATAGGTTTCAATGAGAATAATTGCAACATTTTAAATAAAGATTGCTTTTAAGAAAAACAAATTTAAAGTTTCAAGTAAAAAATAAAGTCTTTGTATGCCTTGATCTTCTAAACTGCTAATGCTGGTCAGCTTCTAACTTTAGATGTAAATGCAATCCAAGGCACATATTTGGGCTTATTCAGTCTTTCCATTTTGGGCTGCATTTTGTGGATGTTGATCACAGTAGTCTTACACACATAGACAACCTTAATCTCACAAAATTGCATTGTTTTGGGCAGTCTTCAGTTCTGTTTCATGTGCTAAGTAAAAATTTAAGCATTCAGATTGGTAATTCAGTATGGAATCAGAATAGCCAAGAGTGCCTTCTGCAATAGCAATGCTCAATTTCCAAGACCTTACTCTCCAAATACCCTATTTTTACTCACTTTTGATTTACTGAACTTTCATCTGCTTGGTCTAAACTTGCCTTTGTTTTGGAAAGTTCCATAACAAGCATCCAGATAACTCCATGACTTACTGAATAAGAATGTGAGGAAAAGTGTATTTTCTGTTCTTCAGAATATGTTGGCACTTTTTTTGTGTTATATAAAACTAAAAGCCTCTCTTAAAGCATCAGGCTCAGCAGGAGGCAGGAGTATGAGTAATCTTCACTTTGCCTTGTTTGAGGCAATTGGTTTTGAAATAACAAAGCCATGCAAACTTGACAATACCTGTTTGTGGGAGCCTGGCAATATGTTCATTTGTTTACTTGACATCAGAGAGAGAAGCTCAAAAATTCTGTGAATTTTTCTTAAGTGCTGAAGAGAAACTGAAATATTTTTTACTTTGTGGGATTACTGACCATTTTAACTTATATAAACTCCTCTTCCATACTGTCTGCTTAAAATTATGTATGGAAATTTGAATAATTTAATATTTAATGGTTCAATTTAGTCTACCTCGGAGCTAGGAAATGATGGGATGCTGTACCAAGTACTACAGGCAGTGCATTTCTCAGCATGAGTTTTGGGGTGGCTTCCACAAGTGGCTGAAGGTATATTAATGTGGATGGAAGTTATGCATCTGTTAAGCACCTGCATTCATGTAATGATTCTTTCATAGAAAAATGTTTTGAATTCAGTGAAATGAGACCTGGTAAGGAGAGGTAATATCTTCCTTGTTCAGTAGGAGGGGAAAGATATCCCTGTAAATATTTCTGAATGTTGCTGGAAGAAAGAAGTAGTCAGTGGGAGCTCATCCCATGTAATTGCCTTTTAGACATTTTGAAAAATCAGCTGAGCCCTTGCATGAAGTGCAGGATAAACCCAAAAGATTGCCTCACCATTGTGGGCATGCAGATATTTCTTTGCTGAGTCACATTCAGTCTTGCAATAGCTAGAAAATTTTGCTGGACATTGACCAGCCATCATTAGGGAAGATTCTTAGCATTCATTACTAAATCTTTAATTATGAAGTAGTTATTGAACAACACTCGCCTCGAGTATTGCATAAAAGTAGAGGGCTTTTTCCTGTCTACTTTCACTTAGAAGTTGCCATCTGGATCTCTCAGGTATGGTCAACTCATGTATTTTGAAATTCTGATGAAGCATTTGCTGAGGATCTTTATATTATTGGCAGTGTACCTGAATGCACAGAGCAGACATCTGCTTACAGAGCTAAAATTGCATCTGTCAGACTTCAAGACAAGAAGCAAAGCCATTTAATTCTGGGAGATAACTGCATGACATTGCCTGTCCAGTCTCAGGCTTGCTGTGTATCTCTAGCAGGATAAGAATCATGGATATTTTCAGCTTTTGTGGTGTTATTCCTAAAAGTGTTTGTCCTACTAAAAATTTGGCTTCCTAAGAGAGATTCTGTGGTGCTATTAATAGTGTCATTTTATCTGGCACTGCCTTCATAGTGCTCTTTCTAGTGCCTTCTTAGGCTTGTATTTCTAGAAGTTCAAACTTGTGGAGCTGGATCAGTAAAAGCAAGAGGGAAATGCAAAAAAAAGTGAACTTCAGTGTCATAAATAGAAAACAATAAAGCCCCACTGCAAATTATTCTGTTTCTGCACTGAAACAAGAGCAGAAGCTCTTTCTAGTTTCCATAAACTTTAGTTTCCCGGCTTTATTTTTATTTTTTTTTTCTTCTGACTTTCCTCTCTCTGAACACAGAGAAATCTGGGTTCTTACTACAGAGACATAAAAATGCCTGCTAGGTAAATTTAGTGCCACATGCAGCTTTTTATTCTTTTTCAAGCAATCTACAGAACCAAATGTATTGAAAATGGATAGAGGAAATTGTACAGAGACTGACCCAATGTTTTACTCTTTGCTTGCTTCACAACAAGATTTTGACCAGCACAAGATATTTTTTTTAAATTGAAATAGGAAGAAAGGAATAAAAAGAGCTACTGAGAAAGACTGGAATTTACAGCAGAGTTTAACAGATTCAGCTAACATCACTACAGTAAGAGTGTAAAACAACTGTACATAATTTCTGCTTCCTGTGCTATGCTTCCATCATGATGCACAGAAATTGAATTGGGATGCCAGCACTCAAGTAACAGCATGTCTGGACTGTGAACAATTGCCTTTCTGGGCAAATCTGACTGCAAAGGAAGATGAATGATGCCTGGTAGAATGGAAAACTCAGTAATTCACAGAATAACCCAGTCAGAATAACTAAATAGCTGAAAACCCTAAGGGAAAGCAAAAACCCAAAAGATGAACAACAAAGAAGTTTAGAGTGGGAAACATGAAAAAATGGCTTTAATTTTGATTATTCATCATCAGGCTTCAGTACCAGATATGATTTATTAATGCATGCTGCACAAGGTAGAGAATAAAGCCAATAGAAAATGCCACATGAGGATGAGTCTTAATCATGTTTTCAAGAAATTCTGAATCCAGCAGATTCTCCAGGTGGAGCAGGTAGTGCAACTAGCTCAAAAGATGAAATCTGTTTGGGTGCCAAGCAAAAGATACTCTAACTATGGTTGAGCATATAATATCTCATTATAATATTGCATTATATGGTCATTACTTCAAAGACCTCTGGGGATTGTGGTGGTGTGTGTGTGCTGTCTCCTCTGGTCCCAGCAAATTATCTTCTGGTGATGACCTAACTCGACTTGTGCAGTTGTTTGTGCAGAGTCTGTGCTGGAATGATGAAATACCCATCAGTTATTTACATACAATCATAGAACTACACCACATTTTTTTTTTCTATCTGCAATTGCAAGGAAGAGCTGTAAAGAAAATAATCACAGCTTAATTTTTGGAAGTTATATTTAATTGCTATCCCATAGATGGCAATATAGTGTAAATCTTAATTAAAAATCTTAGTGCAAGACATTCAGTGGCTGTTAAAAAGAAGAAATATTTTTTTTCCCTTTTACATGATCTCCTTGTTTATTCCATTTGAGCATAGTTGAAATAGGATAGTCTTTATACTCTAAAATGAGAGATTTGTGAAGTGCAACGATTTCTTTTAAAGCCAGAAAATACAGTTTTTTATGTGATCTAAAACAAGAAAAATCCCTTTTTCCCCAGTAGACCCATATGTACTCTAAAAATACACATTCAGAACAAAAATCCCAGCAAAGCTGGACATATCTGATATCTAGTTCTGATAAAACTGGAGGCCCCAATGACTTCTAAAGTAAGTTCCTGATAGAAATTAGTGTGGAAGTGATAATTGTTGTGAGTAAAGACAAGCCATTTCTGAGCGCTCTCAAAGTTCAGTTTTGGTGTTGAAGGGGAAGGACAGAGGCTCTGGGAATCCATATAATCCATGACAAGCTTTGAGAACACTGCTAGAAGTATGAATGGCTAAAGAATTAAAAATTGATTATTTTTGAGGGATTTATTGTTACCTGTTGATTGCAGAAAGTAGAAGATTGGATAAAAGCTCTCTGTAATATAAATAAAACTTGCTGAAACATGAATATTTGAGGCTTTTGATTCTGAATTCTAACCTTACAGCAGCTGCTCTTTAAGGCACAATGTGTCTGGAACAAATGTTCATGAAGTCCTGTGGTACTTGTAGTACCTTCGTTTCCTTTTCTAATTATTAAAAATATTTTGTCTGTCCTTTACATGTTACTTTAAACTCTTTGGTGAAATAGTAGCCATTCAGGTTTCATTCTTAACTCAGATAGAATTTAAGTACCTTTCTATAACACTGAATATGAAAAACACCAAAGTGTTTGTCTTGGTATTTGTTAATCCCAGTTTAAAAGAGCAAACACAAACCAAACCAACACAAAGAAATCTCACCAAAACCAACAGCCAAAGTCAAACAAAATATTTTGTCTTTTACTGACATCAATTTTTTAGAAAGCATAGCATATATTAGGAGAGAACACATCATTTAAGAAGTGGTGAAACCAAATTTCTAAGTGTTTCTATAATTTTATATGATGTTGTTTACTTATTTGGAAATAATTTTATCAACTACTGAAATAACTAATGATTCACTAATATGCTCCATGTAACTCATATTCTGTCTTGTCACTTTGTTGTTCTACAGACAGGAAAAACTGATTTAAACAGGTGATCTTGAACACCAAATGTCTGAAGA